GAGGAGGAGGGAGGGAGGGGAGAGGGAGGGATGGAGGGAAAGGGAAAGGCGGAGGTTGGACTGGAGGAGGGCGGAAGGGTAGTGGAAGGGAAAGGCTGGAGAAAGACGGGGGTACGGAAGGTGGGCGAGGGAGGAAAAGGCGATGAGATTGAAAGAAAGGGACAGAGTGGTGGAAGAAAGGGAATTAGGAAGGGGAGATAGGGGGGGAGACAGGAGAGAAAGAGAAGAGAAGGGCAAGGCGGGAAAGAAAAGAGTAAAGAGAGAGAGAGAGAGAGAGAGAGAGAGAGAGAGAGAGAGAGAGAGAGAGAGAGAGAGAGAGAGAGAGAGAGAGAGAGAGAGACACTCACTTTATTCCAGAACAACGCGAACCGTTCCACCACGGACGGAGACTCCTCTTTCTCCTCCTCGCCAGGTGTAGGGACCGCCTTGTCCACGCCCGGTGCCTCGTATTCTTCCTCGGGCGCGTCCTCCTCGTCGGGCGCCTCGTACTCTTCGTCAGACACGTCGTCATCATCAGCCTCCACGTCATTGCCCTCGCGCTCAGTGGGTCTTAAACAAGAACAGTAAAAATAATATTAACTCCAATAAAGAAGAACATCAGAACCCCCTCCTGGAAAAAAAAATTATGCGAGTCTCCCCCCCCTTTCTAGTGACCGCCACCCACCGCCTTCGTTTTCTGTGTCCGGCCGCCGTTGGATATGCAGCCTTGTGAAGGATGATCATCCCGGAGGAGGCGATGCATCCTCAAACACAAGGACGCCGGCTGGGAGAGGGAGGAGGAGGAGGAGGAAGAGGAAGAGGAAGAGGAAGAAGAAGAGGAAGAAGAGGAGAAGGAAGAAGAAGAGGAGAAGGAAGAAGAAGAGGAGAAGGAGGAGAAGGAGAGAAGGAGGAGAAGGAGGAGAAGGAGAGAAGGAGGAGAAGGAGAGAAGGAGGAGAAGGAGAGAAGGAGAGAAGGAGGAGAAGGAGAGGAGGAGGAGAAGGAGAGGAGGAGGAGAAGGAGAGGAGGAGGAGAAGGAGAGGAGGAGGAGAAGGAGAGGAGGAGGAGAAGAGAGGAGAGGAGAAAGAGAGGAGAGGAGAGAAGGAGAGGAGGAGGAGAAGGAGAGGAGGAGGAGAAGAGAGGAGGAGGAGGAGGAGAAGGAGAGGAGGAGGAGAAAGAGAGGAGGAGGAGAAAGAGAGGAGGAGGAGAAAGAGAGGAGGAGGAGAAAGAGAGGAGGAGGAGAAAGAGAGGAGGAGGAGAAAGAGAGGAGGAGGAGAAAGAGAGGAGGAGAGGAAAGAGAGGAGGAGGAGAAAGAGAGGAGGAGGAGAAAGAGAGGAGGAGGAGAAAGAGAGGAGGAGGAGAAAGAGAGGAGGAGGAGAAGAGAGGAGGAGGAGAAGAGAGGAGGAGGAGAAAGATAGGAGGAGGAGAAAGAGAGGAGGAGGAGAAAGGAAGAGGAGGAGGAGGAAAGAGAGGAGGAGGAGAAAGAGAGGAGGAGGGAGAAAGAGAGGAGGAGGAGAAAGAGAGGAGGAGGAGAAAGAGAGGAGGAGGAGAAAGAGAGGAGGAGGAGAAAGAGAGGAGGAGGAGAAAGAGAGGAGGAGGAGAAGAAAGAGAGGAGGAGGAGAAAGAGAGGAGGAGGAGAAAGAGAGGAGGAGGAGAAAGAGAGGAGGAGGAGAAAGAGAGGAGGAGGAGAAGAGAGGAGGAGGAGAAAGGAGAGGAGGGAGGAGAAAGAGAGGAGGAGGAGAAAGAGGAGGAGGAGAAAGAGAGGAGGAGGAAAATAGAGAGGAGAGGAGAAAGAGAGGAGGAGGAGAAAGAGAGGAGGAGGAGAAAGAGAGGAGAAGGAGGAAAGAGGGAGAAGGGGGGGGAGGGGGATGGAGTAGGGGGGGATGGGCAAATAGGGTAAAGGAGAGGTTGGAAGGGGAGGGGAGGGGAGGGGAGGGGAGATATGGCTCCTCGAATACAGTTGCAATATCTGATGAGGAGATGAAGGATGATGATGATGATTGATGATGATGATGATTAATGATGATTATAATTGATGATGAATATGATTGGAATTATAAGATTAGTCATGATATTAATAACAGTGATAATGATAATGGTATGATGATGATTATGATTACAATAAAAAATATAACGATACATTATGGTAATGATAGTAATAATAATGATATAATAAAACTACAACAAATAACAACGGAATAAACCGGACGCAGGCACTTCTCGCACTTGCAACCCCGGCGGCCCACCTGCGAAGGCTAGCCGTGGTCGTTCTCGGGCTCGTAGTCGTACAGAGGTCGCCGTAAGTGTACTCGATTGAGCTTGTTGCCGTAGTTGTAGCTAAGAATTCGTCCCCGTCGGCGCCCTCCTGGCGGTGGCCCAGGCGCTCTCCGCCCCCCGGCGGTGCTGCCCCGCCTCCGCCACCTGCAGCGGCACCGAGCGTTGGGCGGGGGCAGGATCCTGCCTCCGGCCGGGGGGGCGCTGCCAACACCGCCAGCAGGCAAGGCAAGGCCGCCGCCAGTCTCG